GTGCGGCCGAACAGGGCGGCAGTCTGGAGGGGGCGGCATTTAATTTTTTTTTTTTTCTTCCATCAACCGATACATCAACAAAACATAGAAATCACATGTTCTTCATAATAATAATAGTGATGAGTGATGATGATAATAATATTTCTGTAATAAAAGCACAACAAAGTCATTGTTTGCGTTTATATTGGGATTTTATTGCGCCCCCTTGTGTCCACCGCGCCTCTGTAGTGCGCTCTATAGCGCCCTTCATCAGGTGGGGGGCGGAGGGATCACGGAGAGTGATGATGGAGGGATACAGGTACCGTTTCACATATCACCACTCACAAACATAATGGAGAAGAAGCGGTCGAAGCCATCTGGTGCCCAATTTCGGAAAAAAAGAAAAGAAGAGGAGGAGAAACGAGGAAAAGATGCAGGTATGCATCTCTTTATTATTTAGTTGGTATTTTTCCCGCCTGTCCCCCAACTTATTGATTAACTAACCTCTCTAATCTGTACGTTTTGCATGGTGCTATGATGATCCCTTCAAATGTCTTATGCTAGCTTCTTACGTTGCATGTATTTAGAACTACTTCCAACTGCTAGCTTTTTCTTTGTCAAATGAGCTTTTATGAAAAGCTAAGAGTGGGAAAACCGAAAGGCTGATAACCAAACGCTATCAAATTAAAATGAGTCTTTGAGAATTTTGCTGAAATACATTGACGGCGGGCGGCAGGTCTCGCGCCGGCGCCATTCGCCTTTCTTTTTGGACTCGGGAAATGAGCTACGTATTATTTACCCCACGAAAAACGGAGCGGCAGCGGGCCGCTGGAGGTGCCCTGCCAGTAAGATCCCGTTTAAACTGTAAACTGCCATAACTGTCATGACTCCCATCCTTCACCCTCCTCCACTTCCTCATTATACCTTCATTCAGCTCACCTGGTTCCTCTCACCAAGCTCCAGCCAAGCCCTGCTTTCCCCAGCAACCTCTGTCAGCTTCAATCAGCTCCATTCATTCCACCTGCTCCTGTAATCAGCCTCATCCCATTCACCTGCTTCCCCTGCTATAAAAGAACCAGCCATCCAGTCAACTGATGCCAGATTATTACAGCTCTGCCAGTAGTTCTCCAGCCATCCACCCTGCCTGATCTCTGCCTCTGGACCTTGTTTTTTGCCTGACCCCTGCCTTGCTCGCTGCCTGCCATTTGGACCTTGCCTGTCTCTGACCCTGCCTCAGCCTTGCCCTCCAGGTACCTCTGCCTTCAATAAAGACTTTTTATATATTTTTACTGTGTTGGCATCTTCACGGGTCTTCTGAACTCGGTTCCTGACAGAATAATCTGGCCAAAAATCTGACCCAACGCTGACACAGCACTTGGAGTATTTTTTTTCTTCTTTTTTTTTTCATCGTACCTGTCATGGAGGATCTCACGCTCCTGGAGTTTATGGAGCTAGAGAAGGAGCAGGAGTCACCGTTCTGGGGAACGCGGCTGGCCTTCAGGCCAGAGCCACGCAGAGGCTCCACTCCTCTGTCCAGGCCTGCTGCAAACTTCTTGTGCAGCGGGTTCATGACCACGCCGCTCCAGCCTCAAACCCCTCCTGTCAGGTCACGACGGCTGCGGTCCCGGAGGTTTTCTGGAGCTAATAAGAGGGTTAATCCTTCTCCCGTGCTGGTGTCGGCGGGTTCCACGGACGGCACCTCATGTTCTGCTTCTGGACCAGTCCCGACGGAGGAGATTGTTCAGGGGATGATGCAGATGGCCGAGGAGGCTGTGTGGGAGGTCTTTTCCAAGCCTACCTGCCCCCACTTACGTCTGCGGGCGGCTGATAGGTTAAATGTCATCTTCTCCACCCATCCAGAGTTGATAGCGGTCCCAGCACTTGGTAATTACTACCTTTATGTCCAGAGGGTATATGGGTCTGCACTGAAGGATGTCGCCACGGAGGGTCTGACCTGCTGTGAGAGGTGGTCACCTTCCCCAGAACCCTCCAACGCATCGCATCCTGCTCCGGCGGTGGTCCCGGTGGACGCATCGCATCCTGCTCCGGCGGTGGTCCCGGGGGACGCATCGCATCCTGCTCCGGCGGTGGTCCCGGGGGACGCATCGCATCCTGCTCCGGCGGTGGTCCCGGGGGACGCATCGCATCCTGCTCCGGCGGTGGTCCCGGGGGACGCATCGCATCCTGCTCCGGCGGTGGTCCCGGGGGACGCATCGCACCCTGCTCTGGCGGTGGTCCGGGAGGACGCATCGCACCCTGCTCTGGCGGTGGTCCGGGGGGACGCATCGCACCCTGCTCTGGCGGTGGTCCGGGGGGACGCATCGCACCCTGCTCTGGCGGTGGTCCCGGGAGGACGCATCGCACCCTGCTCTGGCGGTGGTCCGTGAGGACGTATCGCACCCTGCTCTGGCGGTGGTCTCTGAGGACGTATCGCACCCTACTCTGGCGGTGGTCTCGGAGGACGCATCGCACCCTACTCTGGCGGTGGTCTCGGAGGACGCATCGCATCCTGCTTCGACGGATGAGGTCCAAGAAGCCCCGGTCCCGGCCCAGCCAGTCCAAGGGGCTCCAGTCCAAGGGTCGACGCCTCCAGGCTCTGAAGAGGACCTCTCCTGCCCCTGCTCTGAAGAGGACCTCTCCTGCCCCTGCTCTGAAGAGGACCTCTCCTGCCCCTGCTCTGAAGAGGACCTCTCCTGCCCCTGCTCTGAAGAGGACCCCTCCTGCCCCTGCTCTGAAGAGGACCCCTCCTGCCCCTGCTCTGAAGAGGACCCCTCCTGCCCCTGCTCTGAAGAGGACCCCTCCTGCCCCTGCTCTGAAGAGGAACCCTCCTCCTCTCAAGCTCCCCAGTCTCAAGCTCCCTAATCTCAAGTCCCAGAGTCTGTGTCCCCTCAAGTCCCAGAGTCTGTGTCCCCTCTTGGTCCTCGTCCACCAGTGTCCTCTATCACCACACTCCTACAGTCCCGGCTCCTGGTTCCCCGTCGCCGGCCCCCCAGGCTCTCGCAGTCCCGGCTCCTGGTTCCCCGTCGCCGGCCCCCCAGGCTCTCGCAGTCCCGGCTCCTGGTTCCCCGTCGCCGGCCCCCCAGGCTCTCGCAGTCCCGGCTCCTGGTTCCCCGTCGCCGGCCCCCCAGGCTCCAACAGTCCCAGCTCCTGGTTCCCCGTCGCCGGCCCCCCTGACTCTTCTGGCCCTCCTTCCTGGTCCCCCTCCTCCCGCCCTGCTCTGGTTTCCTGTGGGCGTCTGGTATCCGCCCTTGAGGGGGGGGGTTCTGTCATGACTCCCATCCTTCACCCTCTTCCATTTCCTCATTATACCTTCATTCAGCTCACCTGGTTCCTCTCACCAAGCTCCAGCCAAGCCCTGCTTTCCCCAGCAACCTCTGTCAGCTTCAATCAGCTCCATTCATTCCACCTGCTCCTGTAATCAGCCTCATCCCATTCACCTGCTTCCCCTGCTATAAAAGAACCAGCCATCCAGTCAACAGATGCCAGATTATTACAGCTCTGCCAGTAGTTCTCCAGCCATCCACCCTGCCTGATCTCTGCCTCTGGACCTTGTTTTTTGCCTGACCCCTGCCTTGCTCGCTGCCTGCCATTTGGACCTTGCCTGTCTCTGACCCTGCCTCAGCCTTGCCCTCCAGGTACCTCTGCCTTCAATAAAGACTTTTTATATATTTTTACTGTGTTGGCGTCTTCACGGGTCTTCTGAACTCGGTTCCTGACAATAACATAAAAACTAATAGCTAGAGCGGTCTTTTTTTAGCTGAAAGTTGAGATTGTCTCGCCTTTCAGCACTGTACAAGTCGATGATGTCATCGTGTTGCGTTGTGTGCTGCACAGCACACCGCGGCTGTTAACTCACAGTGACCTTGAAGCAGCATGGGAGAGTTGAAGAATTTAACCAGTTACAATGGATTAATGGATATTTAATCAATAGTTGTGGCTCCTCTGGTCATTTAGTTCTTTGTGTGCCGGAGACATTTGCTGAATAAGGAAATAAAAACTTAAAATGACAAAAAAATTAGGGAAAAACACTTGTTTTGTATTCTATCAATTATTAATGATTAATAGATTGTTGGTGTTTTAACTTTTGGTAAAGGAAAACACACAATTTCCAGGCAGCCCCAGTCTGGAGAAGTGATGGTGACATCACCCGTTAAAAATAAATAATACTCTGAGGTTTTTATGAATACTTTGTACTTTTACTTGAGTATTTCTCTAACACCGGTACTTTTACTTGTAAATGAGTAATATTTTAGCAATGTAACAGTACTTGTACTTGAGTACAGATTTTCAGAATTCTTTCCACCACTGCTGGAAACTGTAAATGCTCATTGTAACATGTTAATTAAAATGCTAAAGCAACAGACGTGACATGAAGATTGTATTGTTTGTTTTATGAAACATCAGGAGCCCTACACAGATATTGTGATGGACAGAAGACGGAAGCTGCCGAGCTCCGAGGGTGTGGTGATTGGACACCAGCTGGTCCTCGTTATGGATAACGAGGCCAGGGAGGATAAAAGGGTGACAGACCTACTGAGAGGTGTGCGTGGTCGACCTGTCATTGTGGCATCGGACTTTGGGGGGTGGTGTCGTTCGCAGCCGGGTAGGGCTGCCGGTGACGAAGATAGCTGAACAGGTGTTTGGAGTTCCAGCGCCAGGAGGGAAGGCTGGTCGCCTTCTTTAGACAGTTAGGGCTGGGCATAGGTGATGCCAAGGCCGCGCCGACATCTGCCGCTACGGACTCTGGCAGTGGACTTATGTTGTGGATTTACCCGCCGTCCTCGCAAGCTACACCCCGGGGCGTTGGACGGCGTTGGAAGCTCAGACCCCGGGGACGGGGGTCACACCATCCGTGACAGCTAAGTACCGCTGCTTATGTGACTCATGCTGGACAGTTGGTTTTAGAAGAGAGGGCTTGGGCCATGGTGTTTTATCGTTGTGTTTTATTATTGATTGTGCAATAAAGTGTGTCTTTTATAAGCCGTTGCCTACTGGTGGTGTGTTCAGGTTCTGACCGGAGGGCAAGATGTTCTGCCCGTGCTGCCCACGGCTACTTTTATTACAATATTTTGGGATGACATCAGCTGCCACTGAGGAACAGCCATCTACCTCCACTGCTCGTACCAGTAGGCCAGTATTTGAACTTGAGGAGGGACAGTCTGCTGGCACCACATCTCCCCAGGAAGATACTTTAGGTGGGTTTTGCACATGTGTGTGTGTGTCCAGCAAACATTTAGCTATAAACATTTAAATAGTATTTTCACAGAATATGGGAATTGTTCCATATAGCAATGTGGTGAGTTATGCTTCCATTTTCTGTCAATAGAGAGACCTACCAGTACATGTGAACTTGATGAGGGACAGCCAGCTGCCACGTCTCCCCAACAAGATATGTCAGGTAAGTTTTGCACAAGTGTGTGTGTGTGTGTGTGTGTGTGTGTGTGTGTGTGTGTGTGTGTGTGTGTGTGTGTGTCCTGCAAACATTAGAGAAATTTGAATGTCACATATTGTATTTTAATAGAATATGTGAAATGGTCCACATAGCAATGTGTTGAGTTACGCTTCTGTTTTCTGTCAATAGAGAAGCCTGAACGATCAACCAATGGGTCCCATTGAAGGTGATGATGAGCCTCTTTCTTCAGACCCAGCCAAGTGGCCATCACCAATTACCGACAGCATACGCACAGAGCTAGTTCGAAGAGGACCTACCAAGGTGCCAACTACTTTCATATTTCCCAGGAGTGAAGGCGATGGCAGGTGTTGTCATCATCACTATTTCAGTAGAACTTTGACAAGTGGTGAGAAGGTGGCCAGGAGCTGGATGTTGTATTCAGTTAGCAAACGTTGTTACATATAATACACTCCACGCAATTTGAAACAAAGTTGTAGGTGTAATTTTTTTTCTTGTGTGTGTGTGTAGGGGGGGGGGGGGCGTCACGGGGGATCTCGCACAGGGCGCCATTTAGGCCAGCTCCGCCTCTGATGAGAGGGGCGCTGTTTGTTAACAGAAATACCGTCACGACCCAGCAATTTTTGAAAACAAAAACCTGGCATTCCCCCAGCCAGCTCAAAAGGACATCTTGTCATTGTAACATTGCCTGTGATAGACACATTGGACTGTTTTGTGATGATTTTACTGTCCAATTCTTACATAGTTCACAAAATAAATTAACGTACATTAAAATATAAAATCCTATCAGATAGGCCAGAGAAGTCACTAGTAAACCCACGTGGTCTTTTTTTTTTAACAGTACACGGTCATAGTTGCCCACTCTGGGCAACTTTAAGGAGTGAAGAGACCCATCCAATATGGCGGCGACGTTGTTTCTCACTCCAGCCATATGTCTTCAGCGCCCAATGAGCGTCTACGTACTCATGTCTATGGTGGGCGCGGCGTCACGTAATGGCGTCTGGTGTGTTACGTAAACCGTCCGGCGCAAAAATTCAAACTTTACAGGAAGAAAGAGTGCACTTTGTTGCGTTAAGAACAACTAAAATAGCTTAAAGCAGCATCGCACTTTAATAACGACTTCGTCTGAATTGGGATAGTTTGAAGGTTCGTGCAGCGGTCCGGGTGGGTACTTTAGTAAACTTTTATCGTATCTTAACCCTCTGGAGGCAGGCGTTGCAGATTTGCAACGTTAAAACCTACCTACCTGGTTACTTCCCAAACTTATTTCATGAGCATGTTTTAACTCAGAAGTACCCCTGAAGGACTTAGTTGTTCGTCCTTTTATCAAAACTTATTTTGAGCCTGAGAGAGTTAATGAGACTTGTAGCAAACGTTGTTATGCTAACGGCTGTTGAATGTTAGCATAAGGCTAGCAGTGTTTAGCATACAATAAACGTATTTTTGTTGTTTAGGATTAATAGTGCCTATTAACACTGAAGTAAAAACGTGTATAGTCATCAACGAGGAACGATTTTTTTTTTTACAAAATTGCATTGGGTAATCTAGATCTAATGTTAAAGTGAAAAGTTTACTGGGGAGTGCTTCATTTAGCACCAAGGCTAGCTCTTTGTTAAAGGGTTTATCTGTTCGCACACCTGTGTCTACATGTGAAAAATCACTGGTGGACCAGAATCGGGTTGTTTCATATTCCCGTCTAATAGTTCTTGTGTCCAAACACTGTCACAGGTTTGATTTATCTTTCCAATCTTCCTGGTGAAAGCTAAACAAAAGTGTAAACTAACTTAAATGTTTTAAACAACTCCTGGAAGCCAAATGTCTCTAAACACAGTTATAAAAACTTTTTTCTTTTTGTGCAGCCAAAATGAGTGCAACCTCCACCCCCATCTCCCGGGTTCACCCCGGACGGGCTCTGTCCAATCTGAAGAACAAGGGTCAGTCTCCTGTAGCCTGCAGCACCCCACTGATGGCAGCCTTTCCTGGGAATGATGATGAGCAGGAGCGGCGTCAGCGCAGGAGATCAAGGGTCATTGACCTTCAAACTGCTGGTGAATCCTCTTTTACAGACTCTGCTTCTCACAGGTGAGGTGTTATGTTAGAGGTGCAGTGAACTTATCTAGGGCTGCAACAAACGATTATTTGGATAATCGATTAATCGGATGGGGTCTCGACACGATTAATCGATGAATCAGATCACATGGGGAAATTTTTTAAAACTGCTAGGGAAACGTTATTTCTCTCCTTCCTTCACTTTATTTAACACAACATTATTAGAAAACAGTTCAATAGCAGAAAAACAACATGCCATCACCTAAATTGTCTTATAAGGTGTATAGACAGAGAACCTAAGCTACATCTATCTGTGACCTAAAATGCTTGGTCCAAGTTAAACAGCTTAAGGGCAATTCTCATCTGTTTTGTTTGATCTCATCTGTTAATATTTATTTTAAATGTAATTAAACATAGGCTGTGAATTAATCAAAATTGATCACTATTTCCAAAACTGACTGAAAAAATACCAAATAAAACAAAAGTAAATGAATGCCATCCTCCTTGCGATGATGCCCTGGGCAACTGCCATAAAGTCACATCAAGAAATGCTGCTGATCATTCCAATGATCCCAAATAGACTCACATTAGGCCACATGAAAGCAACTGAACCCAAAAATATATTAACCAGTATATAACTGCACTCTCACACAACACGCCTGCAGCAACAGTTAGGACTCCTCCCTCCCTTTTAAAAGCGTTTTTGCTTCTGAGGACATTGTGGTTGTAAAACCACATGCTAGTAGTCTGGCCCCGGTGTGATCAACCAGTTTCTGCGGGAATGTGACGGCGGAACCAGGGCCAGATTAACACTTTGTTGTACCCTGGGCAACAATATTCAAGGGCTCCATCATCACGACCCAAGGATCACCATAATGTGGTCACATACAGAATATTTTACTGTAATATGCAGTAAATATACTCAATACTTGAATGCCTGACAACACGTAACCCGCCCAGAGTAACCTTTGAACCACCTCGTGTGGACTGACCAATGAGGAGAGGGTCTTAACTTGAGGCCCTCTCTTCATTGGTCAGTCTGCATGAGACTGACTCTCAACTGACATTCAGTCGTAGGCAGCGAAGCGTCTCTGTGCAGCGCAAAAGCCCGGGTGGACAGTTTGTTTAATATAGGGTGACCATATTTCCATTTCCAAACAAGAGGACAGGGGATCTGTGCCTATGACGTCACACTATGGCAACGCCACACAAACCATGTTGGGACCCATTTTTTGTAAGAACTAAATTAATATCAGATTCTGCCAATTAAAGGGCTCTAAAACTATTCATATGTAAATATTTTGCATATTTAATGCAAAATCTAATTTTTCTGCTTTAGTGCTGCAACAAGGTTTTATTAATAATAAATTATTATACCTTTTGTTTTACTACAGCATCGGTAAGCTTCCTGTGCACAGATTATTAAGGATGCTTGTTTAAGCTGTGAGATTAGACGATAGGATCAATGAAAAAATAAGTTGTCACACACTCCATGGAAACTTTCAGAGAATCCACAAATAGTGGCTTTCAAATGGTTTTGTTACTTTTTGCAAGTTTTTAAAAGAAGCAGATGAGACAGCATGTCTGATAATTTAGTTTTTCATCTGATAATATTAGAACATGTCAGTAATGTCTGAGGGGCTTTTATAAACACCATATAACTAACACTACTGGAGAGGGCATGAATTACACAGAGGCTTCTGGGGAGCCCAGTTATGGGGGGGGGGGGGGGGGGGGGGGTCATTTTGCCTTGGCCCCAAAATGTCTTGAAACGGCCCTGGGTGTGTGACTGAGTTTTGAAGGTGATCTGAATTGTATCAGATGTATAAATATGACATGTGTATAACTTATTGTTTTTTACTGGTAAAAACGTGTCGTGGAGATAAATCTACCTACATTTTACTTTTCAACACTTTGTTTTGTTTTCTTGTTTTTATTGAACTATTTTCCTGTCCTGTCTGTCTCTCATCTTCCTGCATCTCCTCTTAATTCTCCAGAAAATCTGTTGCCTGGATTCTTATCTTTTCACCTCATCAGTTACTTTTGAGCAGATCAAAGGGATCTCCTGACCGAAAAGCTCAGAGCGTGTTTTCGATGCTGCGTGAGGTGAAATCACCACAGCACAGGTGATGAGCTCCGCAGTAGCGAGCTTCAGGCACAAATAAGACAGAAAATAGAGAACATGTGCGGACATGAACGATCGTGTGCTAATTATAGTTTTTTGGTTGCGCCACTTTGAGAATGGACCGTGCGCTGGAAGCAGCTGCCTGGATCGCTGCGCGACAATGCGGAACCGGTTCGCAGCAGCGCAAGTCTGCCGGCTCTCCCTCGCGCTGATCTGCCGGTACTGGCTCTCCCTCGCGCTGATCTGCCGGCTCTCCCTCGCGCTGATCTGCCGGCTCTCCCTCGCGCTGATCTGCGGCTCTCCCTCGTGCTGATCTGACTTGCTCTGGTCTGCGGGCGGGGGGGGGGGGGGGCGCTTTTGGAAGAGTTGTGCGACACAACGAATCGATGACGCAATTCGTTGCCAACGCTTTTAGTAATCGATTTTCATCGAATTTATCGATTCGTTGTTGCAGCCCTAAACTCATCACTGCACACACATCGATCTGCCTGGCTGCCATGCATCTGCAGAAGTTAGTGATGGCCTGCTTTGTTTGTATGCAGTGCTTTGGGGACTCCTGCTGCTATCCCCAAGCTGTCAAATGCTCAAATTTCAGAGCACTACTCGACCTGCATAAAACTTTCCACTGAGAATGTAAGTATTCAGCCTGGGTGAGTAAAATGATAAATGGCCTGCACTTGTATAGTGCCTTTCTGAGTCAGTGGACTACTAAGCTCTTTACACTACAATGCATCATTCATCCATTCACACCCTGGTGGTGATGAGCTACAATGTAGCACAGCTGCTGAGGGACACACTGACAGGCGAGGCTTTCCAAGCACAGTCGCAGGCAAGGTGGGTTAAGTGTCTTGCCCAAGGACAAAACAGCAGCATTCCCTGGCAGAGCTGGGAACGAACCTGCAACCAAATGATTACTGGACAACTCGTTCTAACTCCTGAGCTTCTGCTGCATAAAAATAGTAGCTCAAAAGAAACAAACTCATCATGTAGAGGATGGGATAAAATATCTCCACATTCTGGCATGTTTTAAGTAGACATGCACCGATATGGCATTTGGACCAATACCGATATCAATATCACTGTAGTGGCTGATACGATATACTAGGGCTGGGCGATACGGCCTAAAATCAATATCACGATACACTGAGGATTTCACCTCGATAACCATAAATGGACGATAACTACAGGTATGCAGAAACAAAAGTTGTCCACTAGATGGGGCTGTCACATGTATTATATTGAGTCACATGCTTGCATGACTCAATGTGGTACAGCTTCTTAAAGGGACATGAACGTTGCCAACCTACTCACATCTTTTCATTTATTATCAAATTTATCGACATGGGAAAAATGATCTTGATAAGAGTCAGAAGTTTCAATAACAATAAATTTTCGATTTATTGCCCAGCCCTACAATATACTGACATTAATGCTTCTAAAATCTGTAGATTTTTTATAGAATACAAATTATTAAAGCTGAATTTACATCATTAAGTACACACATCACACGCATTTACGCTTCTGCGATGATTAAAATAATTGTCACATGACTAAACAAATACACATCACCCCCTCACGCTGAAACAGATAAACAAATGGAACCAAGATGGGAAAAATATTGGTTGTTAATATCGGCCCAGTTTTATTTATCGGACCGTTACCGATATGTTGAGAAAGGACTAACATCGGCTGATACCGATATTATTGCTGATATATTGTCCGTCCCTAGTTTTAAAAATAATCTTCTCTGGTTCCGACGGTTTTGTAGACTCGCAGCGACTTCTCTGTTTTAAAGACACACTGTTATTCATTCTTTTGGCTAAAAGATGTTTTTGGGATTCACCTTACTGAGACAAAATCAAGTTCCATATTTTGTAGATTCTACTAAAAAGTTATGTGCTTCTGACTGCTAGTAACGAACCGCCACGAAATACAAACTTGTAGTTTTAAGTTTGCATTTAATGTTTTGTTAAATAAAACTTTCACTTTTGAAAATTTGAATGAAGACATTCATCCACTGTATTTCTTTTCCTCCTTTTCTTTCTCTTATTTTGTAGAAAATCACCACAAAAAATGCTTTTGGCTTGCATCTGATTGATTACATGGCCGATATTCTAAAGCAGAAGGATTCTGAACTCACCAACTTCAAGGTTTGGCTCTTTTGGTGACTTCTTTGTTTTCTTTTCATTTTTAACTGGCTGAAATGGCAAAGTCCTATTTCTGATGTTTGATTTTGAAACAAGTTAAGAGTAAAGTGTTTCTCACCCTGTGTATTCTTGAAGAAAATGTTTCGGCCCATTTTGAAGTCCAAAACAACGATCTGAATAAATAACCTAGTTTTGCTGAGAAAGTCTTGGAAAATGTTCATCTACAAATAATTTACCTTTAGCAAAGTATAGCATTGATTTTTCATTAATTTAAATGATAATATCTGTTCATATGATTTGCTAAAATCCATCTAAGCATGGAGAGAAGTGTGAACCGTCTGGATTCAAGAGATGCTGCAGAACTGGGACACGGCTTTCGGATTTGATTTCTGAGTTTTTAACAATGTACCGTAAATCCTCTAATACAGGCCTGTATTCAATTAACGGCCGGGTCTCATATTTTGGCCGGTGTCGGAGTCGGCGGAGGTGAATAATGGCCGGTCTCTTATTGTAGCCGGGTGGAATGTGGTAACAAGCAAGTACCACAGGGGGGCGGTTGTGTCATCGTCTCACTTTTGATTTGCCAGTGATAGACCGCGAGGGTAACTTTAACCGTGCGGAGACGAAGAGGAGGCGAAAATTTGATATCAAGTTCAAAGAGAACGTGCACTGCAGAACACTGGGGAGCAGTAGGGGTTGTATGAACTAGTCGACTTCACTATAGTGACTTGTTATGCCTGTCATCGACTAGTCGCTGTCACGTGATAATGACCGGCAAGCTGCAGCCCTCGGAAAAGACAGCAGCCTGCTGTCAGCAGGTGATAAGCTCCTGCGCTCAGGAGGGCAACGCGCTGTGCCAGAGCGTCGGTACTGACACGCGATCGTTCATGTCGGTTCATTTCCTTTAATGTTTTCTGTCTTTTATTTGCGCCTGATGTGTTTCGCTGCTGTGGAGCGGGGCGCATCACCTTGTCATCCGGTGACGCACCGATCACTGATGCGGCCGCCAAGCAGCGAGCACCCCGCTGTTGTAGCGGTCGGTAGATCTTTTAGAACTGCAGCTCAAAGGTAACTCATAAGGTGAATATATATGAAGGCAGGTAGCAGTTTTTCTTTAGGATTGAGAGGAGATGCAGGAAGATAATAAACAGATACAGGACAGAAAAACAGTCAAATAAAAACAAGTTAGTTTTTGTACCTGGTGGTTGCAACAAACAGACACCATTGAAGGTAATCAGAAGTGAGGAACAGAAACTGAAATAATTATTTTAATGTTTAGAGCAGCAGGAACTCCGAGAGGCTGCAGGCGCATCAGTGAGTTTGCGGCCGCTGCGCAGGGGGAGGGGGGAGAGGCCTGAAGCAGAAACTACCGTTATTAAAAGAAATGTGTTTAACTTTGAAAATGTGGGCGCAATTTTAATTGTCAAAAACTCCAGCGAACCATTAGTTCATTTTGCTCAAATAGAAATTGAGGCCTGCATCTAATTCTGGCCCTCCTTCCAATAAAGGCCTGGAGCTTGATGAGCTTGAGTCAAATACAGGCCCGGGCCTGTATTAGAGGATTTACGGTAAACATTATTCTTCAAGCAGAAGCTATGTGAAAACTTGTGTATATGAAGGAAGTCCAATCTCTCTGTGTGTGTGTGTGTGTGTGTGTGTGTGTGTGTGTGTGTGTGTGTGTGTGTGTGTGTGTGTGTGTGTGTGTGTGTGTGTGTGTGTGTGTGTGTGTGTGTGTGTGTGTGTGTGTGTGTGTGTGTGTGTGTGTGTGTGTGTGTGTGTGTGTGTGTGTGTGTGTGTGTGTGTGTGTGTGTGTGTGTGTGTGTGTGTGTGTGTGTGTGTGTGTGTGTGTGTGTGTGTGTGTGTGTGTGTGTGTGTGTGTGTGTGTGTGTGTGTGTGTGTGTGTGTGTGTGTGTGTGTGTGTGTGTGTGTGTGTGTGTGTGTGTGTGTGTGTGTGTGTGTGTGTGTGTGTGTGTGTGTGTGTGTGTGTGTGTGTGTGTGTGTGTGTGTGTGTGTGTGTGTAAGGTGGCAGCTGGCACTCTGGATGCTAGTACAAAGATCTACGCTGTGAGGGTGGATGCTGTTCACGCGGATGCTTACAGAGTGCTGGGTGGTCTAGGAGCCGAAACTAAACCTGGCGAGGGTGAGACGGCGGAGTTGTGTGCTGCTCATAAGCATTAGAGTTCAGCTCAGTATGGAAAAGAGGTTTTCTGACTCAGAACATGTGTTGTCATGAGAAATGGGCATAATTCTAATATGAGGATTAACATAAAACACAGTCGGTTGAGTCAAAGCAGGCAAATCTATTTAAACAGCCCTCTCATTCGTGTTAAAATGCAGAATATAGAGGGCTTTTATTTGTGAAGCAGATTCTGAAGTCCAAAAATCACTTTTCCTCACATTTCAACAAACTGCAAGAAGATAAAGAACGGGGCTGTTATCTTTTAAATAAAGCAACAAACTAGTGTAGGGCAGAGAAAACTAATTCACTTTGTCCAAACATGTTGGCGTGTAATCCCAGATAAATAACAATCACTGTTTTATAGATCAGTGGCAAAAGTTCAGGATTAAAAACTGCAGCAGTTGCCATTAAACCCTTGTGTTGTAGGTTTTCTCCTCTGGGTTAGTCCCAGTCAGGTTTCATTCATTCACAAACAACATTTCCTTCTCTGATCAGTGCAGAAGATCATTTCATAAACGCTGTCTGACACTATAGGACCACTCTGGATCTAAAGTTTTTTTGTGCCACAATTTTAAATGTAGCCAGACAGGTCTGCTCTGCGAACATACGCTCCTGTGTCATGTTGAACTCTGTGCTGGTGCAGGCCGTGGAGCAGAAGAGGACGGAGACGATGCAGCTGCAGAAGGAGAAGGCACCGCCAAGCAGCCAAAGAAAAAGAGACCTCCGAAAAAAACCGTAGAGCAGAACCTGAGCAACATCAACAGCACCGAGTCAGAGAGGAGGTGTGAGGTGTGTTCTGGTCTTTCTACACACACACACACACCACTGCTGCTGCGTTCCGTGTTCCTTCTCTAAGGAAAACTGAAAACTGTTGCAATCTTAATCCTAACTCACCTAAAAGCTAGAACTTTTCTCTTGGGCTGTTTAAAGCCTGGCTTCGGTTTGAGAATCTCCCCAGAAGTGTTGAAATATACAGAATGGGGAAATGGTCCCGTTTCCAGGTGTTCGTGATCTTTTATCTGACTAATAGACCCTTTTACTACCTACGTCATCAAAAGTTGCGCGCGTAGCCTGGCAACGAGAGTGAAGGCTTCCTCATTCACACTCGATACTAAAACAGCGTTTTAAACCCTTTGTTTTGAAGTTCTGAGCACATAAAAATGTCGGGTTGTTGCATGTATGGATGCCAGAATCGCTTCTCTTCAAGCAGTGGACTGAAACTTTACAGAATTCCGAAGGGAGCACATCCATTTCAACAAAATCGGGGGCGTCTGTGGCTGCAGGCCATCAAAAGGGTTGATGAAAACTGGAATGAAAACACGATCCAAAATGCTCGAGTTTGTAGCGCCCATTTTATATCAGGTAAGGTAATTATGTACTAAGGTTACACCAGAAAGCTGGTTAACGTGTGTTCTATTAAATAAAGTAAGATGCGTTTGCTGGTTTGCTTTTAAGCAGTCTATTTATTTACAGGTGAGGTTTTCTGTTTTTCCCGTCCTAACACAAAGCTCAACTTTGAATAAACGTGCTGCTGCGTGGCTGCAGCATGACCCAAGTCTGGAACATCAAAATTACAGAATTAAACAAATTTATATGCTTTATTTCATGCTTCAAATTAACATTTCATTCTAACTCATCTGTATTTTCCCACTGCATATTAGTATAAACTGTATTTCTCTAAAATTAACACGATTGTACTCTGAGCACGCTAAAAAAAGAAACCTATGCTATACTCACCCTGCCATGCAGGTACAGTTGGCTGTGAAGACGTAGTTCTCTGGTTTGTTTACTATGACCCAAGCCTCGTACATAGCAGTCTTGTGTCCTTGTCTTTGGCTAGGAAGGACTTCTGCCTTCAAGACGCAAAACTCAGAGTCTATGTGGTGATATTTTACTTTCTGTACGTGGCCACAGACAACCTAGTTGTATGCATCTAACGATTTGTATGCCCGTAGCTTCTCACGTGTGTACTTACTGGGCCTCTCCACTAAAAACGTACATATACCGGGCCACTGGATATCGGGCCACGCACCTACATCTTCCACCCATTCCGTAATGCCACAGGGATCCGGGAGTCTGTTGCCATTCGTTAAAGTGAGTTTAATAATGTAACATTCAAGATTTGCCGGTGATAACCCCGCAGCGTAGCTTTATAAAGCCTGACACAACGACATTCTCTGTTGCCAAGCTGCGCGCGCATTCTCGCTGACGTCATATTGTTTACAAACAGTAAAAGGGTCTATAAAAACCAGGTTTTGTGAAACGAGACTGCTCAGAGGAGCAGACAGTTAAACTCCTGGCCGTTGGAACGGATATGTTATTTCACCAAGTTATTGGTCATTTGATTCATGCAAATGTGTTAATGTCTATGTGCAGGTGGACCCCATGTTTCACCGCATGGCTTCATCCTTCGATGAGACCAGCACAGCAGGGGTGTTTTTGCCGGTTCTCTTCAGTGAGAGCAGTCGCTGTGAGCTGCTCTTTCCCTCCCACCTCACCCTCCTGCAGTCCCGACCGTCCTACTCCCCTCCACCTCCACACAGAGTCCCCGCAGCACCCTTCAAGGGTAAGACGGATCAAAGCCTTCTTGTTGCTTGTACGGTCTAATGTTTGTGCACCAATGTGTCAGATTTGGTTACAAAAGCTTTATGTTGGAATTTCACCAGCTGGACTGCAGCATTCCCAGGAAAAATGCTCCATCTGTCCCTCGCTGCAGGATTTCTCCTTCACCAGCTGGAACCCTGAGCAGGTAAAGAACGGTTGTGATCGATTCTGTCAGAGTTGGCCGTCTCATCTCCACTTGTCCTACTAAAGACTCCATGAATCCGTCTGATTGTTGGGATTTATTTAGTGGGACAGGATAAAAACCGGTTGCTCAGCAGACCAGTACATCACACCAGTCCCCGCTTAAGCTGCCCGTTACCGCTGACTGGGTGGTCTTGGACCACGTGTCCGCGGAGTCTGAACGGCGGTTACAGATTGGTCACTTAATTTAAGGACAATGAAGACCCTTCAAAAGTCTGGTGGCATCTTTCTAGAATAAGTTTTTTAACGCTTTGGGATCTGGATAGCATGGCTTTACGTTCCGCCTCTCCAGACGCATCATTTCCGGTTTATGTCGAGTCAAGCTAAGCTGCCAGGTCCAGCTGAGTTAGAAGATTCTTGGCAGACAGAAAAAGTTGGGAGTGTTTTATTTGTGTTTTCCTGTTTTTAATTAGAGACGCTTCATAAACGACATGGTGTCTCATAAAGGGTTAGAGTCATTTACAGGGTATCCGCGGGTCCTTACAAAGTCTTAAATTTGCTTTTCTAAATTTAAGGCCTTAAAAATTACAAATAATCCTTAAATACAGTTTCCAAAGGTCTTAGATTACCAAAGACCCTATGAACAAGAATTTCTAGTTAGTTCAGCATTTTTTGTGTACGATGTTGGCGTAAGCGTAACCGTACACATTCAGTTGGTTGTGAAAGGGGGCTATTTTTAGATGAGCACATTAGCTGGTTAAGCTAGTGGGAGCTTGCGCCATGGGGAAGTGCAAGTTTAATGGTAACTGGGTGGCTAATCCCACGTTCGTGACGTGGTTAGCACCGGTTCCAGGCAATAGCTGGAAAATATAGCTTAAAATTAATTTAAAAAATAGCTTAAATTTGGTCAAAGTGGCCTTAAAAAAGGTCTTAAATGTGGCTCCCTTAAACCTGCAGATACCCTGCATTTACTTTGACTCATTTTCATAAGTTTTGCTTTGGTTCACGTTTTATTTGCTAAGTAGATTTTTTCCTGTTATCTTCTAGAATCACAGCTACAGGTATATTGTGACAAAGACTCAATAGGAGGTCTAAAGGTGTTGAATTGTACGTGGAGGCCATTGCTGTTGTGTTTCCTCTTGAGATCTCCTCACCCTCCAGACGCTGCTGCCCCGTGCTCCATCCTTTGTTGTTGTTTCTCTGACTCCAGACGATGAATCAGCTCTTGGAGAAGATGAAACAGGGCGACCATGTGTTTGATGTGAACGCGGAGCAAGAACCAGAACCGGAGGAGTGTGGCGGGTCTGACTTTGATGCTGATTATGAGGAGGGATCCGCTGATTTTGAAGAGGGACCTAAAGAGCACAAGGAGGGCAGTGAGGGTTCTGGTTCCGGTCCAGGAAGGTGATGTTGTTCTGAGTTCAGCCAGAACTGATCCATCAACTAAAGTCACAGTTTATCAATCAGTTGTTTTTACTTTGTCCTTTAGTTGTTATTGACGTGTTAGACAGAACACCGCAAGCTTCATGTAAGCCATGTTTTCATGTGTTTACGACAACATTCAGCCGCTCGAGTAGAAAGTACTTCCTGTAAAGTACGTTTGAGTATTTATCAGATCTGATTACTGGCGCTTCCCTTTTCACTCCTTAGACTTAACGCCCTAGCTTGTTAGCTGGGATTGAACTGGTTGTTGTGTTATTCCTGTAGGGATGTGATTCCCATCAGTGGGGGGGACATTGCCACTATGTGTCTGCAGCTGTCCTCTCAGCCCCGAGAGTACTCCTACTTCAGCCCCAGGACCATGGCCACGTGGGCCGGCCCGGGATACTGGCAGTTCAAACCAAAGCACAAACGTGAGTCTCATTCGAACCGTTGGTGGGTGCTGGTTTTAACCCCTCGCAGGTGGTCGTAATGATTTAGGCAGGTTTTAATATGAAACCACTGGATGTTTTGATGTTTGCAGCTTTAAGGAACACAACCTTCCCCACTAGAGGGCGTAACTGTGACCCTTTCAGGTGTTTTTAAACCGGCTGCTTTCAGACACACTGGGTGATCTGGGAGTCTGACCGGTCCATGTTTAAGTCTGCAGCACCTTTCCTTTATTTCACCCTAAACCTGAGCTCTTCTGTTCTGTGTGCTTATCTCTCACACACACACACACACACACACACACACACACACACACACACGCGGCCGATCTGACACTTCCTGTACATTTTTCAGAAGATCTGGATGTCAGAAGTTTCTGCACTTCACATCAGGATCTTGAAGCTTAAGTATTTAATTCAGCTAGCTCGGTAGTAAAAAGTGATGGACTGTATGGTAGCGCTGATGCCTCACAGTGAAAAGGTCACAGGTTCGACTCCCAGCTGCAGCATTTCTGTGTGGAGTCAGCATGTTCTCTGTCTCTGTGGATTCCCCGGGTTCCTCCCACAGACCCAAAACAATTAGGTTACCTGGAGACTCTACACTGCCCCTAGGAGTGAGTGGATACCTGTGTCTGAGTGTCTCTGTGAGAGACTGGAGACCTGTCCAGGATGCCCCCCTCACACACACACACACACACACTTACACTCTGCAGGCAAAAGTGCATCTTAGTTTTCTCCCCACGTGTGAGCCGTCCGTGTGTGTTCATGACCGTCTGAACAGTACAGACCTGACCCAGGTCACTTTCATGTGTGGTCCTGCATCTGATGTTTTTGAAAGTGACGAGCCTGAACGTTACATCCATCATACGTCACTGACCCGGTGACCATGAGAATCGTGTGTTTGCATTCTTCAGTGGAGGAGCTGGCAGTTATTCAGGGGTCTGTTGTGGATGAATGAGAACCCCGCCACACCTCAGCACAGCGACAGCTGCAGCTCCACTGAAGGCTGTTGTTCTCATTGTCCTTTCTCTAATTAATTAGTTAAAGTGTGTTTGGCATTTCCCACACAGCTGGAGACGAACAGCATCTGTAGCACTTCTGTAAACGAAGCACATCCGGCCTTCTGCACATGCGGGTCTCTTTAGGGCCGTGACACGTTCAGTGTAAATGCAGCCTTACACACCACGTCCCTGCTAACAGAGGCGGAGACAACACATTCACTCATAAATACACTTTTACTTTGACACTGGACACGTCTGCTGTTTGTCTCTGTGTGTAAAGAGTAGTCCTGGTTACTTCTGTGGGTCATGAACGGCTCTCCCATCGGAGACAGCTGTGTGGAGTAACCATGTCTCATCTGCTGCAGTGGATCACATGCCTGACAAGGAGACACGCAAGAGGAAGCCTAAGAAGATCTATGAAATGGATTTTAACGATGATGTCGACTTTGATACTTTCTTCCGCACCACGCGGGTAAAGACCTTTGACCCTTCTTACTTCCTGTACAGTTTAGACGCCTTTACTCTGTTCTTGATGATGATATCTGGTGTTTTTCATCAGGCTGTGATGCAGCTGCTGTCCTGATGACTGTAGCCATGTCAGCCACAAGCATGATTACTGGTATCAGATTTAAAGAAGAAATGCTGACATTTCCTCTTTCTCCTCACAGGCGGCCACCACTAACAGCAAATCAGCCCTCAGCGCCTGCAGCAAAAAAACCACTCTGCCGGCCAGTTTCCAGTTCCCCCCAGAGACACTGTCCCAGCTCAGCCTCAAACCCTCCAGCTCGGTGAGACCTGCTGGTTCTGGCTAAGTAAACACCAGAAATGATGGTGTTAGGAAGTCCACCTAAGAGCCCGCTGCAGGGCGGGTGTGCATCTTTGGTTCTGCCACAAATGGTACAGTGATCCCTCGTTTATCGCGGTAGATGCGTTCCAGACCTGGCCGCGACAGGTTAACATCCGCCAAGTAGGGACACCATATTTACAGTATTTATTTAACAGGTACGTACAGTATTCAGACTTTTAAAACCCTCCCTTTACATAGTACTGTTAACAAACCACCCTTTAATGTACATTTTATGATGAAATTGATGAAAAAAAACAGGAATTTCTTGATATTTCGCATAGGAAAATACCGCGAATTGGCGAATTTCCCTTGAATAAGGCTCCAATGAAAAAATCTGCGATAAACGAACCGCGAAGTAGCGAGGGATCACTGTACTGGTACCAGTGTGTGTTTGCATGCAGAGTTGGGGATAATTATCGGTGGAAACTGGAGAGGCTTTTTCTCCCAGAACATTTCAGGAATCTTCTCTGACATCCCAGACAGCAGATGGGCTGCTGTAGGCCTGTGATGGTGGTATGTCACTAGTTATGTTTCTTCTGTCCCACATTAGTTGTGTCAAGAGAGTGAACGGAGGCTGTCTGGGGAGCTGGGAGAAGGCATCGGTGATTATGATTACAACAACGCCAACGATACCATCAACTTCTGCCCAGGGCTCCAGGTCTGACGCTCGCCTTCTGATTCCTTTCGTCAGTTTAGTCTTTACTGTAGCAGACCTGGTGACATGGTCAAATGATGTGCTGGTCCCTGCGGGGAGGTTGCTGCAGCAGCATTTGGGTTTTCCCGTTTGATGCCTGCTGCTTGTGCAGAACCCGGTGTGACAGATGTGCCTCCATGGGCTGGCTCTTCTTTTAGGACGGTGACAGTGACGATGATGATGTGAATGCATTTGCTGCTTCAGGCGATGCTCCGCCTCCAGGTGAGGGAATTCCATCGCCGTCTGAAGACCCAGCGGGTGTGTCCACATACAGGGAGGAGGATCTGGTACCAGAACCACACAGGGTGGGTAAAGCTGTGATATCTTCAATACAGAAGAAAATAGTAAATGAAGAAACCAAAGCTGCTGATTACTCCTCGTTAAATGTTAATAACAGTTTTGCCCTTGAATGAAACAGGAAACATTTGATTAGCTGTTTTTGCTTTTTTAGGTGAACAAAATTGAAATCAACTATGCCAAGATGGCAAAGAAAATGGACATGAGGAGACTCAAAAACAGCATGTGGACTCTTCTGACTGAAAGTCCAGAGAAACAGACGCAGGTAGGTAATGCCGTGTTAAGGTCATTCAGTTGGAAGGATGGATGGAGGGGAGTGGAGGCCCCGCGCAGGTCCGGCTGATCCTGTGGGTTCAGGTCTGTTTTATCGGTTCTGCCTTCATGTTCTCAGCAGGTGAAGGAGACCGCAGAGGCACCAGAAGTGTGTGGAGAAAAAGTCTTCAGTCAGACCACGAAGAACCTGCTTCAAAGGTAGCAGCCTCCCTCCTGTTGCTGCTGCTTAAGAGGAATAATGACCACCAGCAGCCTCGTGCTGCGTGAAAATCACAAAGAACTGACGAGTGTTTCTCGTCTCTTGTAATCATGGAAGTTAAAACTTAATGTTTCCACATTTGTTCTCTTCTCTGTCTGATTGTTTGGGTCCAGATTGCCGAGTATGTTGGCTCAGAACCTGTCCGTGCCGCTGGCGTTTGTAGCTCTGCTTCATCTGGCCAATGAGAAGGTGAGGGTTGTTAAAACGTGGACTGGTGGTCAATACACACACCAGAATAAAGTATTGATGCACTCTGACATAATCAGTTCTGTCTTTGGTGCCGGAGATCTTTGTGAGAACCCACTGTCAGCTACAGGGGTTCAAGCTTCTGTATTTTTATCAAAAACCAGCTGAGATGCAGCTTGTAGTTTTAGTTCAGTGAAGCGCTGATGGAGGATTTTTATCGCTTTGGACAGCAGACCGCTGGACTGTCCAGCGTGTGCTGCTGGTGAGTGCTATAACACCCAACACACACACTCTGGTCAACAGATCTGCTCATGAAGAACTCAGAACACCAAAGGCCTGAATTAACTCCAACCGCATCGTCAACAATGCACCTTACACGTGTGTGTGTGTGTGTGTGTGTGTGTGTGTGTGTGTGTGTGTGTGTGTGTGTGTGTGTGTGTGTGTGTGTGTGTGTGTGTGTGTGTGTGTGTGTGTGTGTGTGTGTGTGTGTGTGTGTGTGTGTGTGTGTGTGTGTGTGTGTGTGTGTGTGTGTGTGTGTGTGTGTGTGTGTGTGTGTGTGTGTGTGTGTGTGTGTGTGTGTGTGTGTGTGTGTGTGTGTGTGTGTGTGTGTGTGTGTGTGTGTGTGTGTGTGTGTGTGTGTGTGTGTGTGTGTGTAACAGAATTTGGAGCTGGTGAAGGTTGACGACATGTCTGATATCATCATCAGACAAGGCCAATGAGGAGGTCAACGGCAGAAGATTCAGATTTTCTTTGTCATGTTTTACTTCACGTCTGTTTTCTCACCCTTTACAGTGTTTACGTGAGAAGAAAGGAATATTCTTCTGTTCTTTAAAGTAGCACACGACTTTGTTCTGTACTCACATTTTACAAAAATAGATGTCAGAAGAAATGTTTTTTAATAAACCTGGTGGATATTTAATTTCTTCAATACGAAGCTTTTGGTGGGTAGTGTTGTCAGGGTGTGCGTCATCACAAGCCTCCTGGTTGGAGAGGAAACCAGTTTGTCCAGGTTGCTGCTGCTGGGTGAGGCATGTTGTGACATCAGGAACACATAAATAATGATGTCTGAGGGAAACTTGTTCACTGTCTTTATCTTAATCTTGTTGTTTTTCATAACCACCGTCCTCTCATCCAGATTAACCATTAAGTTTAAGACGTCCCAAAGATGGTGGGAATGGTTCTTAGTAATATGTGATGGTAAATTTGCTTTTTGTTTAAAAAAAACTGTTTTTATTAGTGCCTCGAAATAAAAATCATGAGAAGTTTCACAAAAATGTGTGTGTGTGTGTGTGTTTAAGGAGATATTGAAACTTTTAAACTCAAAATCAAGGTGGACATAAATCCAACAGCATTACTTCTTAACCCGTTATTTACCCACAGCAGCTTCAGTTTGTCTAGATGGTTTTTGGATGTTAAGAAGGCTGATAAAAGTCACAAACTGATACTTAGTTGGACCACCTTTAGCTTTGATTACGTCACACATTCACTGTGGCGTTGTTTCGATAAGCTTCTGCAGCGTCACCAGCTTTATCTCCATCCAGTGTTGCATTAATGTGTCACCAAGATCTTGCACTGATGATGGTAGAGTCTGACCGCTGCACAAAGCCTTCTCCAGTGGGGTTAAGGTCTGGACTCTGTGGTGGCCGAATCATGTGAGAAAATGATGTCTCATGCTCCCTGAACCACTCTTTCACTACCTGAGCCTGATGAATCCTGACGTTGTCATCTTGGAATATGGCCGTGTCATCAGGGAAGATGGAATAACCCGGTCATTCAGGATATTCAGGTAGTCAGCTGACCTCATTCTTGGAGCACATCCTGTTGCTGAACCTGGACCTGACCACCTGCAGCAACCCCAGATCATAGCACTGCCCCCACAGGCTTGTACAGTAGCCACTAGGCATGATGGGTGCATCACTTCATCTGCCTCTCTTCTTACCCTGAAGCACCATCACTCTGGAACAGGTCCATCTGGACTCATCAGACCAGTTTTTATTAATGCGTTGGACAGTTCTTAACCCAGTTTTAATCGTTTCTGCATCTCCTTAGATGTTTTCTCTGCCTGATGCCAAAGATCTGACCCTTCTCACACTGACTAACATCTTTTCTACGACCACCAGATGTGTCTTTCCACCTGGTTGTTTAGAAAATGAGAAGCAGCTCATTGCACCAGTTGGGTTAAATAACTTGTTGCAGCTGAAAGTTTATCACCCATGCAGTAATTATCCAATAGGAGCATTCGTACCTGCTTGCTTAGTTAAATCCAGGTGGAGACTTTTTTGGGGGGCTGAGCAATGTGAATATACATGCAGCAGTATGGAATCAAAATGTTATGATCATTCTGCAAGTGACTGATCCCTCAAGTTTAAGGATGTAAATGAATAAGTTCTTCTAGATCTGCACTTGGCTGACTGACAGGAAAGTGATCCTCAACAGAAGAGCTGAAAGCTCATCAGCAGATGTTCCATTTTGAAGAAAAGTCATCTTGTGAATGTTTGAACAGATGACAAGAACCACATGTCTCAGGCTGAACCATCAACCTGCAAATGAAGCTGCATGTAAGCTAAAAAGACACATTCACAGGTGTGGACACCCCGTTTGGACATTTCATTAAATTAAATTCAAGTTGGTCAGGTGATGACAAAATAATTTTGTAGGATAATAACAGCTTTCACAGAGGAGAGAAAGTGTGAACATTTAAGAAACAAGAACAGAAACGTCTGCCCAACCTTAGTTTTAAATAGAAAGTAGGCCTTTCTGTTTCTCTGCTGGATCGAATCAACTGGACCTTAGAAAATGAAACCCACATGAATTTTTTAGTCTAACAGCTTTCGATAGGCATGCATTACAAATAAAACCAGAAGGAAAAATGTGCCTGGCCAGAGAAAGGGTCTGGGAACTCTGCTATTTAAATAACCCCACCCAGAAATCTAACCGAGCCAATCAGCGCTGAGTAGCGTTCGTCACACACCACAACGCCGAGTTTGTCACAAACACCCTCCTTTGCCAGATTTATGAATGACTTTAAACAATATTTTTCCTCGCTTAAGCATCTAAAATCAGACCGATTTGTTACAATTCATGACAAAATCTCATCTCTCGGTCTTAGACTATTAGGCTCTTATCTTCTGTGCTACAGGATTGTATTTGTATTTGCAGGAGTATTATTTGGATGTTGTGTTTGCATTAACCCCCCGTCTTGTGTCTTGATTTTTGTAAAGTCCCTTTTATTTTTGTTATGTCCCTTTTGTTTTCACGTATCTATTTTATGTTGTACATAGATGCTGTCATGTTATTCACTAAGCTGTTGGTTTTGGCTGTTGTATTGACGAGACTGTAATCCTCAACGAGAATATGTATCTTGTTCAATTATAAATAAAGAACATGGCGACTGAATGGGGAGTTCGCTGCGGCTCTTTCCTCTGTTCTAGATGACTTTGACACGTCTTTAAAACAACAAGTAGAAGCACTAAAAGCCTTACTTCTAAGAAAGATGGCGCTGTCGCCAGACGCCATTTTTGACTACAGCTAAAAAACTACCGCATTGCGCGGTACTGTCTGCATTTCTGTCTTTTTTGTGATTGGTGATTTTTGAGCTTCCTAGTCCCGCCCCTCAAGTGCCTCTCTGCCTGTGAGGAACCAGACACTCTCTGCAGAATTAAACAGGACCAGTCTGGCAGGCCAGGCTAAAACCTATGAGGAAAACACACACACACAGCACTCACTTATGAGTGTTATTGTCTTGTTTAAAAGCTGAACCACTTTCTATGTAACAACCATTATTACATTATAATAGTTTAGCACAGATGTCTGCTGTGGTGAATAAAAAGTATTTATTTAAAACTTAGGCCTACTGCTAATGTGAATTTGTTATGTTTGAATTGCTCTTATTTTTGCAGACGTTTGTTTAGTTGAGCATCGGATTAAATCACAATCCAACTCTCACCACTGACTCACAAATCAGCAAAGCTTCAGACAAATAAACGGATGAATAAATATTCTATGTGCCCTTGAAAGGTAATTACACTCAGTTTATCAACAGCAGACACAATACAGGAGTACATCTTCTAAATAAAAGCATAGATGTTTCACAATAAAACAAACGATGGCCCAGGTTCATAACAAAATGTATAAACGCAGAAGTAAAAATAGGAAGAGCATTAAATAATTAAATAAATAAAATAATACACAGTTTAAAAAACTTAATTAAAATCCAAGTGATTTGGTTAACACGTTTTATCTCCTGTTTTAAATTATGAAACAAATGTAGTACCGTTTTATTTTATTTAACTTTTCTAACGTAATGCTTGTAAATGTTAATAAACTTACTTTAAACCGTTTAATGAGCTTCACGTTTATCGCTTTAATGAAACCGGATGTGGGTTTGAGCTGAAAACTCGAAGCGAAGGAATTCAGAGTGAAGAGAAAAAAACAGGAAGTGAAACCAAGGAGGAGCGAGCGAGAGAGAGAGAGAGAGAGAGACACCTGTAGGAGCGTCAAACTTTTAGGTTTTACGTCATTTTAAAGGTTTTAAACTAAAGAACCGTGTCTGTGGGTCTTCTGAAGGAGGATCTAGTTTCTGACAGGATGGACGCGGACCCGGTAGGTGATGTTTTTCTTGTTTTGTTGCAGCGACTCCATAACGAGGCGCCATGTAAGGAGCAGGTGTGTTTGTTCAGGTCACATGAAGAAAATGAATAATGTTTGAGTTGAGGGGACACCTGTAACTTACGACCCTGTTTTCCCTGAACAATGGCGTCCACTCGGAAGCTGCTCTGCGGTCCTGCTGTTGGACATTTACTTAAGTTAATGTTTGAAAGTGTGAAGTCGGTGTTTAAATGAGCGTTTTAAACGCTGTTGCAGCTTAAAGCTGTTTGTTAGCTCAAACTTAGCTAGCTAACTTAGCTCAGAGATGCTGTAGCATCTTGTTCCTGCTGGCTGGAGAGGTCAGAGGATCAGATACTTCAGAAGGTGGAAATAATTTGTTTTGGACTGAAACCTTGGTCTGTCCACATACGTTTGGTGTGTTTTCTAAGCAGGCGTGCAAACAACAGATGTAAAAGTAATGTTGTTGCTATTTAAGATAAACTGATCTGTATCATCTTATTTTTTCAGGGCATCATCATTGAGGCACTTGGATTCAATTTCTGTAGTTTTGAACCACTTTAGGACACAAACAAATGTTTTTTATTCTGGTCAGCTGGATATCTAACGGTGGTTTTTGACTGTTAAATGTTTGTGACCAAGTGAGAAAAGCTTTGCATGCAAATCTGAAGCAGGACTGATCCTCTGCTGCTGCTGGGAACAGAGGTGTTTCAGTCTTTATAATAGAGACAGAACAGATTAGAGCTGAAAGATCAGGATTTACACTCCATTCAAATCTCACATGTGCTCACAGATTAAGGGAATTTCACATTTGACTAGTTAAAGAGTCGGCATTTTAAATGGCTCACTGAGGATATAGGTTACATTTATTTTGCAATCAAATGAAAGTTTTCCTTTAAATTTACCTTTTAAATCATAGAGACCACATCTGTGCCAGCTTTGTAGTTGCCTGCTATCTAATTTTATTTCCTCTTAATCAGGTTTTACTGGAAGACCCAAGTTCATCTTCATCTGCTTCCTCTCCAGCACATGCTGAGCTCTTTTAAATGAATCCTACCATCTTTATGCAGATGGCATCCAACTGTACATCTCCTTTAAGAACCATGAGATGTCTAAGCTGCAGCTGTTAGTGTTTCCCCTAGGGATTTTTCCAGCTGTGGTGGTGGGGGGGTAATGACACGACTCACCTTTATGTTAATATTGTTTTATTTGATGCACTCCACTTTGAACTACACCAGTACAGCAACTGCTGCATTTTAATGACTAGTATTAAAGGTGAATACCTCTTATTTATTATTGGAAATCCTTACTTTGGTTAAATAAATCAGTTGTTGAACCCCCACTCCTCTGTTTGGTCTCCTTTCTTATTACAGCCCACCACTTCCAGTCTGGGTTGTAACAATCTGCAGACAGATTTCTGAGCATCTCCTCCTTTGGTACACAGATCCTCACTGAGCCAAGTACTGTGAACAAATAGTTTCTCCGTGATATTATCCAGCAAGGTCTTGTTTTTGTCAAAACAAGGGTGAGGTAATGAAAAAATAGAAATATTTCAATAAATTAACATTAAAATTATTTATATGCATAATTAAAAGAAAACATGTTTTGAAATATATAAAGTGCACCAAACTTGACTCAGTCCATTCAACAATTCTAAATGGACAATTATGTAACTCATCAATTAATTATTTGAAAGGATAATTTGTCAATTAAATGCTGAAAAAAATAAACAATACATTAATGAGGCAAGAACTTTTTAAGCTTGGACATACCTACACCCACAAGTCTATTTTTACCTGGTTAAAACCATCTAGCTTATGTGCACTTTTTAAAACACTGCCCAGCAAACATTCGGACGTTTAATGACAGTTGAACGGTCACAACTGTAAAATTATATCACAGGAATTAGGAAAGAATAACATGACATCAACTCTATGTCCCTTGGCCGGACTCGAACTTTGGATCCTCCAGAGTGAGAGTCACCCGCTCTCCCAGCTGAGCTATGACAGCAACTGCTGAATCTCAGATTTTTTTATATAGATAGCTAGAGAGTAAAGTGCGGAGTAAACTAACCAATCAGAGGACAGGGAAGATCTGCCACAGGCCACGCCTCCAGAGTGCCAAAACTCCTCACAGCCGAGCGAGCGGAATTAGAAACCGAGCGCGCAGAGGCTGCCGAGCGCGCAGAGAGGCTGCCGCGCGCGCACGTTTTCCTCTGCCGTGTGCTCGTTGGCAACGCGCGCACGCAGGTTTGTCACTTGTGCACATCCTTGTGCGCTCACAGACACAGTTTGCTCCCTCTCAGTGCACAAATGACCTCTCGCCATGTATATTTTCGCTCGCGAGTCCCGTTCACACGCGCACTGTGGACCCAATGCGCGTGCATGGGTTGTGGCACGGGTCTGACGCGATACTCTCTCCCCCAGAGATCGGTGGACTCAGTGGTCTCCTTTAAAAGCAGCTGAAAACTCACCTGTTCAGGCTGGCTTTGGTGTGACCTTAACTATTGCCCTTTTCTTATTCAGCTCTTTCTACCAATTCAGCCTTTCCCAGCATCCACTGATTACCTCTTTTTTAAAATAATTTTCTGTTTTTCTTTCCCAAAAATTTCTAATCACAATGAAAATTTTTCTTAAATATATGATATTTTTTAATAATTATTTAAAGTCTTTATTTTTTATTTTTTTATTTGCTCTTGTGAAGCGCCTTGTGATTTTTGTCTTAAGAGGCGCTAAATAAGATTGTTTTTTTTTTTCTTTCTGACTCGTCGTGCATCCCGTGAATAAGAGGTTTGCTGTAGTCGTTGCTGTTCCATGCACTGCCTCACACGATTTCCTGTCTCTGTGAAAATGTGTATCTAAAGTTAACAGCCTTACTGTGGTACTGTAATGTTTATGTTTATGTATTTAGCAGACGATTTTGTCCAAAGCGACTTACAAGTGATAATCAGCATGTTGCCCTTGAGGCTAACAACAACAATAACAACAACAACAACTTGACATCAGTCATGGAGAGGAGGGAACAATGGAGTGGACAGTAGAGAGGGGGGACGGGTGCAGGGAGGGTGCTAGTTTAGAAGATGCTCTCTGAAGAGCAGGGTCTTCAGGAGTTTCTTGAAAATTGAAAAGGAAGCCCCTGTTCTGGTAGTGCTTGGAAGGTCATTCCACATTTGTGGAACGATGCATGAGAAGAGTCTGGATTGTCCTGAGCGTGGTGTAGGCACTGCTAGCCGACGATCCTGTGATGACCGGAGCGGCCGGGCCGAGACGTAAGCCTTTGCAAGAGGATTCAGGTAGATGGGAGCCGTACCGTCTCGGACTTTGTATGCTAGTGTTAGCAATTTGAATTTGATGCGTGCTGCTAGCGGTAGCCAGTGGTGTTCATTGAACAGAGGGGTGACGTGTGCTCTTTTTGGCTGATTGAAGACCAGACGCGCCGCTGCGTTCTGGACCATTTGAAGAGGTCTCACAGTACAGCCTGGAAGACCAGTTAGAAGGGCATTGCCGTATGAACTGTTAGCATTGTGAAGAAAATAGTTTGGTTCATGTAGCAGCAAAATGAAATTTAATGAGGATTAATATCATGTGTCCTGTGGGTCAAGGTTATCCAAAACCTGATTCAATGATTGAATCACCTCTTCAGCAGCTCCTCAAGATCCTCAGAAGCCTGTTGGTCATCCACTCGGTCAAACCAGGTGTGTTTAGTGCAGCAAACCTAGAAAACATGCCAGTGGCTGTCCTCAAAGACCAGGAATGAAAAACCCTGCTATAGGGAAACCCGTTTGGCAGTGTTATTTAATGTGGGGATAAAAATCTGCCAGTTTTATTCATAAAGCATCAAAGTATCAACAGTCCTTTAAAAGAAATTAGAAATAAATGACCAAAGACAAAGGAGAGAGAATGAGTCAGCAGATGGGAAGGAAGACAAAAGATGACGAGGGAAAACCTGCTCTGTTGCCTAGCAACTATTTTGTTTATAGTTTGACAATGGCTCATGGGGACACAGAGTGCTGGGCGCACACATACACACACACACCTCCAGCAATGTGAGCTGCTTCTGTTTCACTTTATTCATCGATATAAAAACACTTTCCATCAGCAGACATAAAGAAAGCCATCTGAAAATCAATCTTCATCCATGTGAGGAGTAGCCTGGCAAGCCAGACTAAAGTGTATTATTTGGTCTAGTTCACTAGGCTATGTGAGGAGAGCATAGAAAATCAATTTGAAAGGATCCTAGCATGGGCGTCGCTAGGGCTGCTCGATTATGGCAAAAATAATAATCACGATTATTGTGACTGAAATTGAGATCACGATTATTTAGGACGATTTTTCAATTTATGTTGATTTTAATTGTTTTTATTCAGTCATAAAATTGCTCAGGGCACAATCAGGACAAAAAGAAATAAGAAACAAGATGATCACTAAAATAACTCCTGATTCCCAGTATAAAAAGACCAATATACTTATAGCTCATAGTCTATGACCCAAGGGCTATAGACCTTGGTTTAAATCATTTAAGTCTAACCAGTACAGACCCAAATACCAATATCTTGCAAATACTGACAGCAAGAATTATACAGTGGCATTTATAACAAATAAATGCAAATAAATTGATGTTCACAAAATTTTGCATACATTTATTGAGTCGTGTCAAGGTGCTGTAGGAGCGTGCACTAGCACCGTGTCCTCAGAGAGATTATTTATTATTTATCAGCGTGAGGAACTTATTTCTACCTTATTTATAAACTATTTATTCACAAGTCCATCAGTTAATGTAATAATTGTCCCAACCACAGCTGCACCCCCCACCCCCCAAACCCGGTTTCACAGCAATCAGTGGCAAGCTGCACGCGTGTTTAGCGCGCCGCACGCGCACATTTAGCCGTTTTTAGCGGCTTAGGAATGCGCAGGTGTGGTGTGTCACTCACTCTGGTTAATCCAACAGGGAGCCGGCTCTGAGAGCTGTTTCTTTAGCGACTGACACATCACTACATC